TCAAATAAAGCTTGAGAATAAGCATGACCATGACCAAATAAATATAAATCTTGTTGAGATTGTGATGAATAAAAACATGATGATGGAAATAAAAAACAACATCCACGAAGTTCACATTCATGTTGATTGATATTATTACTTGATGTTCCACAATTTCGACGTTCTTCTATTGATATTATTTGGCAATGATTAGGATTAGGTGGTAAATATCGTTTATTAATAATCCATGGCCATCTAGAATCATTATCAAGTTGAGGTCGATGTGTATCATCAATAAGAACATAACCACGACGAGAAATAACACCATAAGTACAATGTAAATCATCACGTGGTTGATTTCGACAATCTAATTCTAATTTGGGATCACGACTACCATCTAATGTCCGTAATGTACCTAAAAGATTACCATCATATTCTTCTCCTGGTATAGCATTCCAAACTACTATATCTCCTTTGATGATATTGACTCGAACTGTGACACGTATATTATGTTGACTAAATGTTGTTGTAGCATTTCGAAGATATTCTAATGTAACAAAATCAGTATCAATACGTAGGTGAGTATCATTTCTCATGACAGTAAATGATGGTGGTATTGGTTGAATTTGACGTGATTGAACAAGCCATGTTTTTCCATCAACAAATTCTTTTGTTGATGACCATTCGAGACGAATAAGTTGTGCTGATAAAATAGTGAAACGAGCTTGACCTTCATAGATTATTGATGCAGAACTTAGTAATAATAGAATTTCAGGCATTGTTACAACTAGTAAAAATGTGCAAAATACAAGCAATATTGACATTATATTTTGTGAATGAAATGTTACTTTACGATAATATTTATCAAATAGAGTGTGAGTGTTTTCGAATTATCGAAATATCAATGAAAGAAACATTTTCTTTCATATTCTCTTGTAACGTGCCTTTTTTTAGACTAAAATAAATCATGATCCAATTACACATCCATTTCGTTCTCGTAAATATCTATTAGAACCTTTATTTAATATTACTCTCAATTTTCATTCTACCTCAATTGGATTACTTGTATTTTGGACAACGAAAGTAGTCGACGAGAAATGATCCATGTCAATGAAAAAAATGCTTCCAAACATATAGTTGTATCTAACAAGAGGAAGCAAAAAAAGAAAAAAAAATTAATCAAAATCTACATCACATCGTTATTTTGGTAGAAATGCGAAGAAAGAATGTAAACATTGATTATTCATTTCTCTTGTAATCTATTCAACACACTTTTTACAAAGAAAATGAGAAATGATTCTTCACTTAATATTCTGTTTTGCATTATCTTGTTGTGGAAACAAGTATTAATAAACGTTTTGTTTCTTTTTTATAATCATCAGTTTCGGCTACGAATCTGTCTTTTTGAGAAAAGTGAATCGCCAGATTTCTGAAATCCTCTGAATCCTTATCATATTTCGAGTATTGGAATGTTATGAAAATAGGTAGGATACGATAGTGATACAGAGAAGTTCTAAATCCACCTATTCTCTTTGATAAAAAGTGATGGCGTGAAATATACTGAATACAACAATCAGATATCCAATTATACTGCTCTATAAATCAGTCCACATAAATAACTACTAAGAAAATCGATTGGATACAAAGAGAAGTTCGAGAATAAAACATTTTTAAGTGAGTTTCTCAAAGTGTCAAACATCCACGACAAACAATTCTTTACAATAGAGTGTCTTTTAATATGTTCTAGAGGACAAAAAAAGATCTATTTCTATCGGATAACGTATTTTTGACACTTTACATCGTCTCTAGAACTATTTTGGTCTAATAAAATGACTTCAAAAGTTTCTTGAGAAGAAAATAATTTTCTAGTAGAACTAGTGTCTGTTTGTTTTTTTTCAAATAAATCGATGTATATTCAAAAATGTTGTTGAACTAAGGAAGCAACATATATTGATTTGACAGAAATACAAAACATAAATACACACGTCAGCACAATAAAATAAAACAAAAGTTAGATATAATTTACCATTGATGTTATTCGCACAGTTCTCCATATACAATAGTTAATTAACTTTCAATTTTCAGTTGATGAAAAAAAAAAATGTTTACTTCATTTCGATAAATAAAAGACAAGTTAGCATAAAGTCGAGAACTTAAATTATATTGTCAACAATTGTACTTTCATTTCTTAGATTCGGATATATTTTATTGACATAATTACTTAATGGAAGAATTTTGTTTGGCTGTTGAACGTATCTTCATCATTAGCTTCATACAGTATCTTGATTTGTTAGTAAGTAAAATAACTGTACAAGTGTATTTTTATATAGCAAGATTTCTTCTATAATACTCACACTTCATTTTGTGCAATAAGATTTCCTTGAGTTCATTAAAGTGTTAATTTATAAGCAAGGATGTACTTATTATATACACTAAATTATATACACTAAATTATATACTTTGTTATTTAACATTCGATCATTTTGATGTCCTAAAATTATCAAACTTAATTTGCTTCAAGAACCAAAAGTTCGAAATACGTATATAAAGATGAGTATGTGAAATTGTCATTACTCGATATCAACTACATATGCTAATAACTATCGAATTATTTTTCGAAACTTTTTGTTTATATATGTATATATGAATATAAAGTACTATGAGTTTCAATTAAAAAGAAACAATGTTTTATTATATTTCGCACATCAGATTCACTATGTGCACATCATTGAAGCATATCGTTTTGCGCACATGTTTCGTAATGTGCAACATTCTGTGCACATCTTGTGTAGACTTGTTCGTGATAGAGTATGTAGTAAGAAAAAATAAAAAGAAAGAAAACTAGACAAAACAACGAATAGTAAGAAGCGAATCAAGTTGCTTTGCTGTAAAGGTAAAAAAAAAAGAATCCTTCGAGAAAACAAGCAAACAGTATCACATACACAACATCAAGCATAATCAACAGCACCTCAACACATAATTTTTTTTTCATATATTCGGTTTTTATTCATTTCATCATAGTGAGTAACTTATTGAAATAATACTGATAATAGAAAGAAATCTAGCAATTAACACACATATAGTGCTAACATAATCTGCACATCAAGCATAACTCAGACATATACAATCAATCACAAGGGGATCGTCCTGTCTTTTGGATGATTGATTGATAAATGTCTCGTAATTAGTATTCTCAATTCATTGATAATGTCTCTACATGACAAAATTAGTTTGCTTCTTTTTTGGCCAATACTATACATCATGTTTAGTTAATCAAGAGGTCAGCGTCGAAAATATCAGCATAATAAGAGTAAAATTTTCATGTCAGTGAAGATAAAAGTAAAAAGCTTTGCGTCTTTCAGCACGTTCTTAAAGTCAACTCGAAATACTTGTTATCATACAACGCAGCAAAATGTAAAAGACAGATCAGATGATTTTAGTTCGGCATTTTTCTATGAAGATAGTCACGATTATTTTAAGATTGTCTAACACTTTCGTGTAACATTAGCATTTTCTATTTTCTTCTTATTAGAAACAAATAGGATAGAAAGAGGCAATTTTTCTTTTACGCATACTAACAAGTTTAATGAATTCAATAGTATGAAGTTCATAAGAAAGAAAAATCACAAAATAATACCGAGTTTTTATATTTCTTCATAGGAAAGGTTTATCTATTAGACCTGACTAAATGTATTCTGGCCTCTTAAATATGAAAACTCTACAAACATATAGTTGAACTTAAGAGAATTGATCAGAGTCTAACATGTCTTGTTTCCTTTGTATATGTGTTTTCGCTTTCACTATCGTACAGGAGATGCATCTTGTGTGGATTCTTACGACTTTATCTTCATTAAAAAAATTTTACATGTAACTATCGGCGTGCTAGTATTTTGTGCGATTGGTTCCACATGGCTAGAAGATAGATTACAAAGGAAACACAGAATTACTTTATTCGAAATCATATTTTTGGTTAATTGAGAATAATTATTGCATATAATATCTAAATTTGAAAACGTTGTTTTTTTTAGAACATGAAAAAATTTGGCTCCATAATATCAGCTTATATATCTACTTTATTATTAATATTAGCGACATGACAAAATAAGATAATATTTATTTCGTTGCTAAAACTCTAATGATAAATTTTTAATGTTTTTGACTTGCAAAAAAAGAAAGAAAACAAGTCGTTTTTATGAGTGAATTCAACACTTTTGAATTATTCTATAGATTCAATTTGAATTTCCTTCATTATCTGTAAAATAATCAGTCCAGATGATCTTACAATTCTTTATTTTATCGAAAGAAATAGATTGATAACTTTTTTTTTCATAAACTTACTGGTGCAACCCACTTAGAGCTAAAACGTATATCTCACACATCTTCTTTAATACATTAAGTCAAAAATCTTTAATAGACGATAGTTGCTTTCCAAGAACAACCAATTGCCAAGAAAACAATTTCTCTATTCGAAACAGAATTTTGTTTTTAAAATTTTCTATTGGTATTCTATTTTTGATTTATCTGGTTGGTATGCACTCGTTTTCTAATCTATTTTATTTCGTGTTTCTTACATCACTATTATTATTATTCAAACTATTGTTTAACTAAAAATTAAGTCTGATATTCACATCGATTGTATCTATAGAATATCTCAACACTCGATTATGTATTGCGATAAACTTAGAAGTACAATCATATTGATTATTTTTGAAGACTAGAAGTTGATAGGTTTATGCTTTCTGTGTTGGTCATATGACAACTGTGACAAATCAACACAACACTAACCAGTATCATTGATATGTGTTATATTACAGTTAATCTGCACAAAATCATAACCTATGCTACTGTAACATTCATGTCCTCAATGATTTTATTATAGTTAGCAAAGCGGGTTCTCAGCGTTCAATATCACATTCTTGAAGAGAATTTATTTGATATAGCTAATGCTTCAGTTTCTGTTTGTTTGTTTTTTTAGATATAGTTTTCATATTGATGCTTCAGATTAAGAGAACGACTTGAATATGGATCGACGCCGACTAGCTTTAATCTTTGGAAATGAAGACTACAGTGGTACAGCAAAATTAAAAAGTTGTGTTAAGGATGCAGACGATTTAGCAGTGGCATTAACTAATTTTGGTAAGCCTTTAAGACTGATATTTTAATGACAAACAAAGTTTTTAAAATTCTTTTTTTTTCATACTCTAGGTTTTCAATGTACAAAATATCATAATTTGAATAAACGTGCCATGGATATTGCTATCAGAGACTTTTGTGCCATTATTGCTGATAATGATTGTATTTTAATATATTTTTCTGGACATGGCATGGAAGCTTGCGTAAGGACTACGAAGTATTTCTCACGCTTATTTGAAAACTTCAGCAGTCATTTAGTCATGTTACAATACATGTTGTATCCAAACAGTTGGATTTGACTAACTACTTAGAATAAGTATTGTAGAGAGATCACGCCTTGATATAATTTGACAGACTTATTCTCAACAATGCTTACCCAAAATAGTGTAATTTTGTCATTTGTGAGTATAGTTTCTAGTAATACTAAATTTCAGAGATGACGGCCTTTTCATCTATTCTTCAGAATTGATAAGTTTCAAAATACTTGAATATAGCAAAACATTCTGCATTCGAAGCTAAAATTCTGATACTATCTTTATGTTCCTTGGACAAATAGCTCAATTTACATGAAGTTTCTTTCTTACTTTCGTGTTAATATGTCGACGAGAATCTCTTAGCTAATTCTTTACGACTCTCTCCAATCTTTATTTTATTGCCATCTACGACTACCACTGGATTCCTAGCAGTCAGTGATACGGTAGCAAAGTAAAAAATCTTTCTAGACTTGAAATATGTATTTCAAATCCGAAATAAAGCGTTTCATAATTACCTAATTATCGATACATTTCTATTTGCAGAAATGATACTATGAAAGTTTTTTCAACTACTTTTTAGACAAATAGTCAAACACTGGTTTTAGTGTAGTTTTTCAAGATACTCCTCTTGAACAATAATGGACTTGTATATTTAATAAAATCAGATTATAGAAGTGGTTTTTTTAATCGAGTTTTATGCGACGAATTATGGCCTGTTCTAACACATTTAACACTATTGTCACCAGTGAACTCAACTGTAGTAAAAAGAAGTCGTATGAATGTAGTTCTGAAGAGTAAATTATTTTTGGATATGATTTAATACGATTCTCTACGAATAGTTCGTAGATAATTGGCATTTCCTGTAGAAAAAGTGAGAATATTAATACTGGAGTTTTATTACGTCATTATACACTATTGAAAATCTCTGCTAGGTAAGATATGATTTTTTTAGTTTCGTTCTCTAGTGTCGATGAATCTTCATTATTCTTGAATCACTTTGTATGGCTGCAATTTTAGGATACACTATTATATTTTTATTATTATGATAAAAATATGATCAACCCTTAGTGATGATGCAATAGATAAGATGAAATCAATGCTTTCCAATTCATTCAGTAAATCACCACGTAATCAAATATGAAACTATTTTTAGTAGATAAGTTCAAAAAAAATGACTCTATCTACCAGCCAGTTTGATAAAGCTCTATTCCGAACTTTGAAGTTCGAATCATTGTCTGAAAACCACATAGAAACTGAAGGTAGTAGGTACCATTCGATTCGTTCTTCGAAATTTGATCTAACTTTACTGTTAGTATTTCGACATCATGAAAGACTAAAAATCTGTTTGTGATGGCTTCTGTAACGTGTCAATATTATTGTCACTATTGGTATAATCTGTGAATTTCGGCATTCTGCTCTATAGATCTATCTGAGTAGAAATAATAATTACTATTTTTGTACAATCTATTGAATAAAGCTGTTTGAGTCCCATCAAATGAGAGAAATATAACCTTTTCAAGTAGTTTCAATGTTTTCATATTAGAAAAAAATTGATACCACGATGCTATTATATTTGGTTGCTGTTCTCAGCTCATCTTGGGTAAACTGTAGGAAAAATATGATATGTTTAGGCTATCATTAATGATCTATCGGATGTTGATTTTTTATTTCTAATGTGTCTAATTAGGTCTTTCATTCTTTTTTGTGCTAAGAGTACAATCAACACACGATTCATCCAAATATAATTCTCAATTGACCTATGTCAACTGATATTTTTAAAGAGAATTTCTAAAGAGCCGTTGAGAAACGGCAAGACATAAGCTGTGATAGAAAAAACATCGAGAAATCAGATATATCATTCCTTCTAATCTAAAATTCAAACAAATGATGTTATTTCGAGATGTATTTATCGATAGATTATCGTTTGTAAATAGGATTTCTCGAGTTTCCTTCAAATGTAACCTTGATACTATGCTTTCTCCACAGAAGGGCAGAAGAATTTTCGATCAGAGAAGTCAGTTCATTTTTCCAAAAGTTGTCAATAATTTTATTGACTATAGGAAATCAACTGCAACCCTCACTGCATTTATCAATATTAGCTAGATCTGAAGCATTTCATTAAGAAAAATGTGTGTTACTACGAGTGAATTCTGTACACACATGTGCAGTATTTCCATTGTATGCACCATGTCCTACGAAAATCGTGACAAAGTAACTGTTACTGATTCAATTCTTTTATTCCCAATGGATAGACAAACAACGATAGTCTTCTTTGCACCAAAGGTATTGAGCCCGTCAAGGAAGAGCAGTCCATTGAAGAGACATCTACAAAAGGATTCTAGCTCGTCAATGAGTTGGAAAGACTATTATTACTCATACTATGGACCATCTCAGGAAACTTTGGTCATTAAAGAGATGTAGTTGAAGATGACTAATGACCAGTAGAGGGTGTGGGTACGAATGAAGAGAACATTCACGCTCATACTCACATCCACACATTTCGATAATACTATCTATTTCACTTATTTCTTTCAGGGTAAGAACTATTTATTACCAATCGAACCGTTGCACGATCCAGAGTTCGACTGCATCAGTTTGGATACCATGTTGAAGGATCTAAGGCGTTCTGGAGATAATCTTTTAAACATTATTATTTTGGACGCTTGTCGATTTGATGAAGACAATGACACCTGGAGAATAAAAGCTATTAGTAAACAAGCACATCTTAAGCCAGCATTCGGTAAAGCATTAAGTCACATGTTAACATACCACAAGACTCACAATTTGCTTTGATATTTTCATCTGATCCTGGTACAGTATCTTACGCTGGTGATGAAAGTGGCAATAGTTTCTTTACATCAGCGCTATTAAATCATTTGGCTACACCAAAGTTAGAGATTGATGGCATGATGAAGCTAGTTAGAAAAGAAATGTTACAAACCTCACTGGGTCAACAACGACCGTGGATCCATTCATGTTTAACAGAAGACTGTTATTTCAATCAAGGTTTGTAATGAAGGCATTTTCTCTTGAGTTTCTCTTTGTGATTTCTACGACATCGAAACTTCAAAACATTTAGTACAATCCCATATCGCTTTTCTTTTATGAAACTTTGTCAAGGCTGTCTCAAGCTCGAAACAAATCGGAAGACTCTGATGTGAACCAATTCGATTCGACTCCATTAGACTAGAGGTTCAATATAAATCGGCTATTGTTTCTTGATTTGCAGTCAGTGCAGACTAATGAAATCAATCGAATAACCATGTCAGAGTTGGTATTACAGCTGATCGGCTAGTTTAACATTCTGAGTGAACGATTCATTCATCTCATAGGAAAACATTCTTTCAATAAACACCTGTTCAAAAACTTAGCTTTGCTTGATCATTTAGAATTTTGCACGAAAAAGTCTTGAAAAAGCGTTCACTACTGTCAAATGATCAATTAAAGATGATTTTCTCATTGAAGTATTGATCGAAAGATAAATACATCGAGACTTTGAAAGTTTTTTCTTGCTTAAAATGTTAATTTAATGGTTTACTATATTGATATGTAGTGATGTATCGGTGATTGTGCAATGTTTGACATCATTGAAAGAACTTTCGTTCAGTCTACTATCGACAGTCTACCACGAAACTAGTCGATTGTGTTCATAAAGTTAGTGCAAAATAACAACAACAATCGAAATTGTTTAGATTAAGAGGCCATGTCCTGACACAGTATCATGACACACTAAGAGGATTTTAAAAAGTTTCTCTTGGAAGTCAGGAAACAATCTTTGTCTAATTATTCAAATCGAAATCGTTTTAACATTTCAATCAAGAATTAATGTGTATTGTTGGTATTGTAAAAGTATTTTGTCCCAAAAATTCGTTTTGTAATAAAAACCTCTTTAAATAGAGTGCACTAGGGAATCTCATGAAGACACATAGGAAAACGAGATAAATCTTCAACAGCCCAAGATTCCAAAGTACTCAATATTTTTCGAAAATTTGCCACGGATTTGTGGAATAATTAGGTAAGGCAGACAATGAAATCACTTAAATCGTAACCGATGATTCCTGCCATATTCATCGTAGTTTGTCATTGTGTCAAAAGACCCTTCCCACATGTCTTCCACTTTTATTTTTATATAGTTTAACACTGATTTACAACTCTACTTCCCAAAAACAAAGACTAAATAACTTGTTCATTGTAACTGTGTGTTTTTCTCAGTCTAAATGTTATCTCTAACCAATATTTCTCTAGCAAGATATATTTAAAATTCTGATTGTGGGATATATCTGCATTCCAGAACTGTGATTGGAATGTGCTCAGTTTGTATTCATTCGCTATTTGTAAAGATAGTTCAGTCTCACAATTTCAATAATTCCAGACATAAAATGAGCATTCGCGCAAGCATTTTCAAGATGCCTACACCTGTCTTTCTTGTTATTGCAGATTCGTCGTCGGTACCTTCTCCTCATCCTTCTCCAGGTAAGCGCATTTAATTTAGTTGTATAATTCGAACATATAAACACTATTCTATGACTTTGTCAGTATAATGATTTTGATATTATCGTGTACTTGATCATAAGAAAATGAGTTAGATTTCAAAACTTTTCTTGTTAAACACTTGTATTTGTCGTTAGGACTAAATCACGCAGAAAATGATAATATCTAGACGGCAAACATATTCCATGCTGGATATTTTTGCGGAAAGGTATCAGTGAAACCTTTCTCAGGATTAAAGCCATCGATAGGTTACAAGACTTGAGATCTTCTGTAGTATTTTTCAGTCTACCACCAATAGGAGATCTTCTATTATGTTCCTTAACAAAGTCATATCTTTGGTGTTCTCAACTACAGTTTATAATTTCAACATTTTCTTCTCTATCACATCGTTAGCAAAAGTATGTAACTTAGCGAGCATCTACACGATGGAAAACGAGCAGATAATATTTGAGTGCAAAAAACAAAAGAAAATAGATTATTGTGTAAAAAGAATGATCTTGCAACAAAAAAGGGTCAATACCTATTAGAATCAAAAATAAAAAAGAGGTCAATTCATCC